AAGTCTCAAATTGATTATTTCAACCTCAATTGTTATGTATGTGGAATCTATGGATTTCAAATCTAGGTATATTTTATCTAAACTCTACATTTTCAAGTGTTTTCAGATCTTTGAGATCTACACCATGTTTGGAGCTTCAACTTTTTGTAAACCGGACGTTTTCAAGCCATTATAAGGTTTTCCAACAAAGGATCTACATTTTTTAGGAGGTTTTGAGGTGTGGTTTTACTTTTTTATCACAAAACCTAGCCCTCATATTATCCTAATGTATACAAATAAAAATTAATATTTAACAATCTTAATTTTGTTCTTCAAAAGTCAACAATATTAAGATTTGGTTTTTGAATGCATGTATCCACTTTCCTCCCTAGTTTTGTTAAGAGACTGAATACCATGAAACCATTTATCTTTATTACAAGAAAGTCACAATTGCTCTTATCTATTAGATGTCAAATTAGATGATTCGGAGTGTGTCACGCATAGAGGATAAAAAAACAAGGTTTGAGAAAAATAACAAAAAAAAAATAGTACAGAAAATTAAAAGAGCATGACACAATGAGTTATATGGTTCGGCAAAATTGCCTACGCGGTAGCAAGATTCTCTTTAAGTAATAAAAAAAATACTATGCAAGCATGAAGAATACAAAGATTTACAAACTCTCCCAATGCCCTAAAACAGAGTTTTTATCTCATCAAAACACCCACCCAAAGGTTTAAGGAACTTACCCTCTTTTGTTGCATCTTATTTTCTCCGTCTACAATACTACTTTTCTATCTACAAAACCACATTTATAAAGAAGAAAATCCCATGAAACTACCACACAAGGTCCCATTCTCTTTTGATTGGTTTTTGTAAATAATAGGCTCTAGGGTTTCCACAAAATAGAACTCTTATTTTTTTTTTTTTTGCTCAAAACAAATCACGTGATTTCCTACTTCAAGTGGAATCACACCCCATAAAAATAGAAAACTCTATTTTAGGAAATGTGGCTACGTCACGTTAACATCACAAAGTTAGAGGAGTTTTTTTTGGAACTTTGAATTTAGTTAATGTACACTACAACCCCACAACCACCCGATTTAAAATGTAACGGATAAGAATGATTGTAATGTTTTGTACCAAAAACAAATGGTCACTTTGTATTTCTTATGTTAAAGATAACTAAATTACTAAGTGAAAAATATTTAATGAATTTTGCAATGTCGTTCAAAACAAATATTTTTCTAATGTAATAAAATGTTTTACCATGCTCATTTATTTAGGAGTGTATCAATTAATTTATGGTATGGTTTGCATAAGGCGTCCTTATCAAACAACCAAAGAGAAGGCACCACCAAACCTGCCAGAAGATATACTTCCAGTGCCGTAAATTCTTAGAATATTTTGAAAATCTATTTTCACTCCTGACTGTGAAAAATCATTATTTATTTTATTTTATAATTTTTTTTTTAAAAAAAGATTTAATAAAAAATATTTTTTTGGCTATGTAATATTAAAATTAAAAAAAGACGTACAAGCATGCTTTCCACATAATTCCAGGGGCCCACTTTGGGACTTTCAGGTAGACAGAATTTTTGGTTCCGAGCTTGAATACAGCCCCTGAATAGGTTTTAGGGGTTGCTTTTAGGTGGTTATTGGTGGAGACTGAGTTTGATAGGCCTTGGTGGATGCTAAAATGTTTACATCCAAAATTACGGCTAGAAAGAACATATCTTCCTCCACCTTAGTATGCGAAGAATTAAATTAGTAGGATAAGATAGATATAGGGTCCACATCAAATTATAGACCCTAAGGGGTTGCATTTGACCTTCTTTCTACAGTTCACTGGCCGAACTGGCTAAAGTTTCACCAAAAATTGAAAAGAAAATGTAGAAATAGTTTAAAAATTGGGGGCAAGAGTTTTGGAAGACATTGGAAATGGAGAAAGGTTAGAAAATGAAACAAATAAAAGGATAAAGAAGAGAAATGTGGGTTTAGTAAACCCAGCCCACCAGTTCGACACCTAAAGTTGGGGCCTCAGAAAGACGCAGTACGAGGTAACTGCTCCCATAGTCTTCCACAATCCTTGAGCCAGGAAGGCTTCCTGTTGGAGTTGGAATGGGATTGAAAATGGCTCGGAGGCTTGAGTACCTTAGTCTAGTGTCCATGTAATGGTACACCATAGACTCAACTGGAGGGATTTTTGAGTTGCTAATATTTTAGAGGTATCTAGGACTTCAGGGTTTTAGGGGTAAAATGATGAACGACGTTGCGAAACCCTAGAATTCTAACCATAAAATTGAGGTTTGAAGTGGTATCTATAGTGTCTAGGGCTTCTATCTGACTCATTCTCACCTAATACATTTAAAAACCCCACAAAAAAATTCTCACCTAATACATTTAAAAACCCCACAAAAAAAGCCTGTGTTTGACTTGACCAAGTGGTAGCTCAATCCGAGCCATCCATATACCTATGATGTGAATCACATACTTGACGATGAGCTTTGTGTCTCTAACAGTGCGCTATGCTGGAGAATGGGGGTAAGGTCGTGGTGGTAGCACCTATACTTTAGTCATCACGTTGTGGTTTTCATTCCTACTACTATCACCACCTTATTAACTCCTTCAAAAATCTAATCCCTAATCTACTTGAAAAAATGGGTAAGGGCCTGTCTTTCCAACTAAATTACCCCAAAAAAAAAATTACGCTTTGCGTTGTTCACGGGTGGTGGGCCCGGATTGAGATGGTTCCTTCTCCTACTTCTTTTTTGGTTGTTTCTTGGGGTTTTGAGGCATTTTTTTGGGTTTTTGGTACTTGTTTATTATATTATTTTATTTTAAGAGCTTTTTGATTATTATATTTTTTATTCATTTTAAAAGAGTTACCAGGTCAAACATAGGGTTTGTGCAATTAGGAGAGTGGCTAAATCGTGATCATGTTGGAGGTCTCCTAATTTATGTTTGGCTTATGTTTAGAAGGTTTAGAGTTGGTTACTAGGAAGTTCTTTAACCTAATTTCAGAAGTTTTTACTAATGAACTGGGCTAATTTTGAAAGTTTATGTCCACTAAGTCGGTTTAAGGCTATCTAATTAGGGTTTTACTAAGGGTCTTCTTATTGTATTTTTAGTTATTTTTTAGAGGGCACGGAGTATGGGATGTAGTGCTGTGTGGATTAATAGGCTTGTATGGTCAGTTTAGGGTAGGAAAAGGATATTTAGGTCGACAAAAGGCGAGTTTTAGGTCCCAGGTAGGTCTAGGAATGCGGCTAGGTGTGAACCCTAGAGCTTCCGGTTGTGGTTACCTAGAAACTCCCTTAGCCAAAGTAGGGTGTCTAAATAGGCACATCCAAAGTGCAAAACATTTTCCAATTTGAATGTATAAGTAGTTGTGAAAACATAAACTTTTTGTTTTCGGCTTCTTCATAGAGAAACAGTTGTCATGGATTTTATGGAAGTGTTCTGAGACTTGGGCATAGCCACTCTGACTCGGGCAAGTAGTTTTGGGGGAGTAGGCTGCACGACAGTTTTTCAAAGTTTAATTATATTAATACGTCAAGTTTAAATCAAATGTCCTTGAATGGCTTTACAACTAGTCCTCCTGCTTTTATTCTAATGTAGTCAGTGCTCAAATCCAATTTTTTTATATGATGGGAACAACATTCGAATCCCATTGGTAATGGGAACAAAATTCGAATTCCACTGGAGAACGAAATGTAGGCCCGCTAAGAATGGAACTCATAACCTCTTGTAAAGAAGTCCACTTGCTGCTTGCTTCATTAAAGTGGTGCTCATATTATATTTTTTCTCTTTATTTCCTTTAAAAGAAAAGATGAACAGGACTCAGACGAGTTATTTAGACTCACCCAAGTAACTCGTCTTGGCTAAGGTCCCAGTGCCTTGGCCGAATCGATTTTCTATACCCTGCTTTATGATTTATTTCTTCTACGCATCAAAAGTAATGCAAACAGTTCAAAAGAGAAGGGTAGATATAACCTGTAGCAACTTAAGCGATGAAAGTTTCATATTCAATACTCAAGCCGATGAGTGTGTGGATGGCCAAATGTTCATTTGGAACTGGATCTTGTGCTTCTGCAAGTGCAACTGCAATAGATTTGACTTGTTTTAGATAATAACTCATGGATTGTTCATAGCTTGTAGCTCATAATGAAGTTGGAGAATATGTGTCTTTGGGTGGTGATGATAAAAAACAGTTTAGTGTGTTCTATAATTTTTTCACAGAGGACAACCCAACAACTTGTGCCAAGACAGGGTCCATTAAGGTTGAGTTAAGCCCACGCAAAACGAACTGATTAGTTGAAAGCCAAGTTAAGTAATCTGGATTGATTTTTAGTTTCTATTATACTCTTCGCATTTGAGAAGCTTCATCGAGCCGGGTGAGAGTCGTATACAAATTTGTGGAGATTCTGACTACTTAGGATAGGCATAATCTGAGGTTTCCATAGCGGAAATAGTGAACTTCGCTGATAAAAGATAACCTGTGAATTGAAGCTACCTCCGATCGTGGATGAAGGAACAAGGCCCTTATTGCTCTGATACCATACCAGAAAAATATCTTGTGTTCCTTCTTGAACATATGAAGCTTTCATTAAACAGAAGTGTCCCTATGACTCTTACATGTGGTTGTGATTAATGGTTACAATGGATGAGCCATGAGGATGTTACAGCTTCTTTCAGGACATCTTTATTTCTTACATTATTTTGGTTTTTCTATCTACAGTTAGAGAACAAAACCAATATATAATCCTGTCCGGATGGAACACAACTCAAGGGCACACACAAGTATAGCTCAGCTCAAGGTTAATTCAAGGTTTTGGGCATCCAAAAGAACTCTATAACTACTGCTAACCGCCCCAAAAATGAGAAATGCATAATGCCATGAGGTAACATGAAAGAAATAAGAGATAAGGAAGTACTTCAAAATACATTGGAAATCTATTTCAGAGCAACTCAAAAGTTACAATAAGAACAAAGCACACAGTTCCAGGCTCCTTATTTATGATGCAACCAACACAACACACAGTTGCAGACTCCTTATGTAGAATCAATCTATCTGATAGGAGGAAACAAAGCGGACTTAGGACCGAAATATTTGAACATATTAAGAGGAAGACTGAAAAGATACCAACAACCATCGAGGGATTTCATGTTTTGAATCTTGTAACAACCTCAATGTTTACTCCTTAGACATGAGGCTTGCGCTCCTCTCCTAACTTGAAGTCAGTTATTTGAATTGCAGTCTTTGTCTTGTCAAGATTGCTGACCCTCCTCGACATGAAGAAATCTCCCCACTTGTATTCTTTGAATTTAGAGGGGTTTTCTTCAGTTACAAGCTCCTCAATAGGCTTAACCATCACATGATATGAAGGTGAAGCTACAGTGACCATCGAGAACCTCTCGTTCTCTGAGTTTACGACAACTCTATGCACGATGCACTCATATTCGTCGTTGCTCCAAACCTGTTAAAATGTATATAAGATCAGTGTAATTTTGTAGTGCAAACACAATGAAAATAGTTGAAGAAAACTCATTGGCATAATTTAGAGGTGGGAAAATATAAAAGGAAAAGTATATAATTCCAAACAATCCTTAACATGTTTTTATGTTTAAGTGTTAATTGTGTATATTTATAGATAAAAAATACCCACATGTATATGTTATACATAGAGATGGGATATGTTTGATTATTCCTTCGTAAGGAGTATTGTCTTAAATTACTCAACACTCATGGGACATTTACTCTTTTTTTGTGATACAAAAGATTTTCAAGTAAGGGCACTTATTTTCATTAGTAAGGGGTAAAATAAATATTTTTTTATGAATAGAATAACATTTTATCATAATCAGACCAATTAACATTTTATGTGAGTAACATCGCAATTATTGCAGCTGTTATGCATCCCATGTGGGGGTGCTGTCCAGCATAGTTAATAAAACAACTCCGTACCACAAGACTTTCTTCTTACCCTTAATTAGTTACCTAAAACACTACTAAATTAAATTTGTTCTATTGTACATTAAGATATCAAGTGCCCAAAATATTGAATAGGCTAAGAATAAACTCCATAAAAGGGAACAACCAAACAAGATCCAAAATAGATATTCACATATATTTATAAGAGCTACTTCTATAATTATGTTAATTTCACGCTTAAAGTATAGTTTTACATGTAAGGATTATATTAGGGTACTTATACATATTTACTTAATCTATTCACTATTTTTGACACTCAATACTCTTACTCCACATAGTAACCTTTTTGCCTAGGGGTATTTTAGGTTATTAAACATAAGTAAAATTGAAATTCTTGATAAAAATAAGAGCATTTATTACTGATAGTGCAAGATGACATCACCCACACGGAGCAATGATTGTTTTTTTACCAACAGTAAATGCTATTACTTTTTAATAGAAATATTTATCGTACTATTCCGAATACTGAAAAATGCCCTTACTAAAAAAAATTTGTGCCATAAAATAAGGGTATATGAGTGTCCAAAATAGTTGAACCTTCATAGAGTAAGTTACATGTTTGCAACCATGAAAACCTCGATGTAAACCCTGATCCAATATATTCAGGTACTAAATGGATAGTGGGTTCATTTTAATCTTAAGGAACAATTTGGTAATTATGAGAGTGTGTAATGATCTCATAATAAACAAACAAAATTTTAACAACTCTTTTTATAATTTATAACCGATTCATCCATTGTCCCATTCTTCATTTTTGGGAAAGGCTAGAATTTTGTTTTGGTGAAGGGGGACGGGGTTGGGTCAGATCATAGGGGAAAAATTCACTACTCATGGCAGGAATGAAACATAAGATTTCATGCTGTGGCACCAATTACCCTGACCGCTATGCTTGGTGTCCATTCCTATTTACTGAGGGCTAGATTAGTTTTAACCTTTGGATGTTGTGTTATGCATTTACTCCCAAACCACTAAAGGAAGGTCGAGCTAACTACACATGTATTTTTTGTCTAATACCTGTAGAACACCTGCCATGATGACCACCACTGAATCAGGAATGGGTCTCAGTCGGAGCCATTCACCGTCCGATTTTCGCTTCAACTCGAGCCCACTGACTTCATTTGTGGTCAGGAGGGTCAAGATAGCATGGTCCTTGTGAGCTCCTTTGCCTAGAACCAATTCGGGAGTAGGGCATATTGGAAAATAGTTGATTCTAGCGTAGTTCATGTGGTTCTCAAGGTAACGGTTGAAGCGATCAGCTGGTAAGCCTAGGCTGAGTGCGATGAGCTCTAGCAATTGGCACATCAATTTTGAAGCAGCCTGTGTAAATTCCTCGCAGACTTTCCTGTCATGGAAAAATTCAAAATTTATGCTATTTATGGAGAAATAGGTGTAAAACCTTATGAGGTTCTTGGGTATTTTAAGGAAAAAAAAGGAAGGAGAGAAAAAAATAGATGTCCTGGTTGTGTGACAAAACTTAGATAATAGCTTTCTCTACTAATTCGATTGACCGGAAATATTAAAGGTGCTTGTGCGCCCCTTAGGCTCAACTAAAAAATATAAAATTATTTTAAAAATAAAAATTGATCAAACTATCTTTGAAACATTTAAGAGTATTTTGGTCAAATTTTAAGTGTTCCTTAATGAGCCTCGTAGTTCCATTGAATTCAAATTAAACATAATTGCAGAATAATTATGACTGTCCATTTTCTTTTTTTTTCTTTTTTTAATATAAAATGCTTTTTTTAATATGAAATGCTGGGAGAGTTGTATGTACCCTTTAAATGTTCAGGATACTATACTTTCCATCTAATTTATTAAAGGAAAAAGTTTGTATAAGGTTGCAATCTTAAAATGTAGAATTAAAGATGTACCTCAAAAATCCATCGGAAAATGTTCTTTTAATGTTGAAAAACCCTCAAATCGATCATCTCGACATCGAGATGCATTATTATGAAAAAAAAAAAAAAATATTTTGAGTCCTAAAAATAGTGCATCTTGCAACACATTATTTAGACCGTCCATTTTCAAGATTTTCATATATTTATAGATCTACTTGATTTTAACATTTTTGGTATTTAAAATTTTATAATTAGATATGAAAATAGATTTTCAGATAATCCTAAGACTTTTTTACATAAAAATATCATATTACAATAAAATTTGGAGTTGCGCCTTAATTGGATCATTGAAGGTTGCAAATTTATAGAAACCACATCCTTAATGAAAAACAGAAAAGAAAATGTGCACAAATTTATACCGTAAAGGACCTGGAATTCATTTTAAAAAAAAGGAAAAAATATTTTTAAACTCAAATAAAAGACAAAATTAGCAATCCCAAAATCACATATGATAAAAATGTCAAAACTCGCCAATATGGAACATCATCGATCAAATCCAATATCTATATAAGTTATAAGAACGAAAACCAAAACTAGTCTATGGGCAAGCTTGGTTCGTAGGAAATCTCTATTTGAAAGAGAATCCCGGCAGACCACTGCTTTCGCATGTTTGATTCATAGGAAAGCCGACCGCTCAAGGGAAAATTCTTTCTCTAGTATGGGAAAAAGCACCGGACTTCTCAATCCTAGGTAAGAGACTTGGACGTTGCTGCAACTATTAGATAGCCCAAAGACAAAGATTTGGAGATGTCGAATATCACAAGCGTTGAAAACAACGTATGCTGTTGCAAATATCAAATAGCCCAAAGGCAAAGATTTGGAGATATCCAATATCACAAATGTTGAACACAACGTATGTTTTAGGATGGTCCAACATCATCAATATTGAATAGACTAAGAAATAAGGGTACAATGATATTTAACGGGCCATGAAAATAAAAAAAGAATTAAAAAACCAATTTCCCATCTATTCGATGTTGGAAATATTGGATGCGGGGTAAAACTATAAAAAATTTAAAAAGGCGAACAGTCGACGGGAGCAGGGGAGCTCCATGTAAGTTTGGAATAAATGTGGAGCATATTGTAATAAACGGGAAAAAAACTGATCCCCACATAGATGTTTCATTTCATAATTCATAGTAGGAATAAATTTTCAAAGAATCTGGGACCAAAACTGCTTTTGCTCTTACTTTGGTTGTTTAAGGTTGATACCTTGTATAAACTGCACCCAAACTTCTTCTATGGTAATGAGAGAGGGCAATAAAAAGTTAGTCAATACTCGATACTTTTAAGAAGAGAATTCTTCCTAAGAAAAAAGCACATATGAGCCAATCTCCATGAAAAGGAAAAAATAAAGAGAAAATAAAGAGAGAGGATACGGGGTCACATCACTCTTTAAATCAAATATCCTTTCTCTGTCGATCCACAAACACACAATCAGGCAGTTAGTATGCAGCATAGATGAGCTCTTTATTAGAGTTTTACAGCTGATCTTAATGTTCGTATATAAGTTGCCTCCATTTCGAATGCTCAAAAAAAAGTTGCCTCCATTTTGTGGAACATTTGAATCCTATTTTATCCTAAACAAAAAATCCTAGTCATCCTACAAAATGAAGCTTAAATTTTTAATAGAACCTTCGGTTATAAAGATGGTAGGATAGATGATGGAATTGAGGAAGAGATAAGGAGTTTTGTATATGTTCTTGTGTGGAAGTGTGTGTGGGGGTGTGTGTGAGAGAGATGGGGCCTCTCAGATACCGAAAATCTGCCGGGTTTTCTGGCCACTGGTTGTGGAGAGTAGATGTCTCTTGGCAATCTGGCTCCAACGATGCTGGGATCGAAAGTTCTTTATTCAACATGAAGTCGAAAACCTCGGCCCAGTCCCGTATGTTGTTCGTGTGGTCACTTTCATTGTAACCCCATGGCATGTTCGGGTTTCTGGCAACCTTTCGCTTCTCCTCAAAAGAAAGTTTTGAAAACTCAGACATAACTCTTATAACTTCGGGCCAAAGGCCTGGCGCCACTCCGTGGTTTACAACCACAAAGAAGCCCCATTCCTTTAAAGATATGTGTACTTGAGCGACGATGTCCGCCAAGTCATGAGAATTTGGCGTCTGGAGTGGTGAAAGGTCAATTACAGGAACGTCTTCTAAGTATTTTACAGTGTCGGGCTTTGGCCGGAGGTGAGGTGGTACCATGGTAGAGGCCTCAATGGGTGGTGGGAGCATGACGGTTGAGTCTACCGCTGTAGGCATCTTCTCTTTCTTCCTAAGGTGTTTTCTCTCTCTGGATTTTTTCTAACAACTTTTTATTACTAGAAATTAGTCCTAATAGATTTTTTTTTAATAATATCTTGCCCAATAAGCTAATTTCTATTAAAAAGCAGCCTGCATTGCACGTTTGGTGTTTTAGGACAAGTTATAAGGTTTCGAACCCTAGACTTTCTTCACACAAACCCGAGATATCTACCACTAAGCAGCAGATACACGAAATGCCTACCACTAAGCTGAAGCCTAAAGGACTGAAGATAAAAAGAGGGAAAAGATAAAAGATGAGAAAAAAAAATAAGAACTTCACGTTCAAGAAACTTCTCACAAGCACTTGAAAGTATTCTCTCAGTAGCTCTTTACTGAAGCACTGGTTTCCTATGATCAAGATGTACATTTTGTCCATTGCGTCCTCCTTTTATAAGTGGATAGTAAGGTGCAAAGTCCAGGAGGTTCATTATTAAAATTGAGATAATGAAAAATCATTTCATTTTTTTATTCGGAACCTTAGCCTGTTCTCGAAGAAAGATAGCAAAAAAAATTATGCCTAAAGTCGATACCAACAGGATTTTATACACCAATGCTTCCATAGATTCGTTCGTGGTTTACAACAAAATTAAATATCGCTTCCATACCTGTTCATTTGTTACCTTGCTTCGTTTTTTTTTGTTTCATTCAAAATTCTCCAGATTTGGTGGAGTATCTGAGATACAAGATGACAATTTCTAGTGAAGATATTGCCTTCTTAGCATATACGATTGTACAGTATTTTTGGAAAAGGTATTGGTTGAGTCGGGCAACACATTCATGTGCTCTGATTGTCAAGGTTTTAGACTTGAAACATTTCTCAAATTCTCATGGATGAATTTGGAGCTTGAAAAGCAGTGCAAATATGATATCTTTTCAGGAGCTTGAAAGGCAGTGCAAATATGATATCTTTTCAGTAAAGATGAACCATCTAGAAGAAACAACAAAAGTAGATAAGGGAGAGCCTTTTATGTAACGCCACCCACATAAACTATATATGTGACTCCTGATCTTAGCCGTCACAATTGAGTAAATGGTTGAGATGGCTTGAATCACAATGTCACAAATTGGGTCGTAACGATCGTACCTTGATTGGACAGCTCATAGTTTTTTATTTTTTAATTTTTATTCTACAAATAATTTTGAAACAAAATTTGGGGCATGCATAGATGTGACAGGGATGCACATGATAAATACTATAAAAAAAATATTTTTGGTGGAAAAACATTACTAGAATACCCCTGAAAATTTCATGGGCATTTTTGTCATTTAGTTTTATAGAAAATATTGTCTTTTTATTTTTTCAGGTTCACCCTAATTTTATGATGGAACACCCAAAATTTTATCTAAAAATGTTCTGTAAAAAAAAAAGAAAAATTATGCGTAACATTATGGCATGAACAATCGTAGCTGTTGATTTTGAATCGAAATGCTAAAAAGTGGGGTCATATATAACTTAAGACAAGATTTCTATGCTTCCCCTACAACATAAAACTTATATACTTCCCCTTATCCAACCATCTATTTTGAATGGATGGCTAAGATTGCCCCAACACAATGACACGTCTCTACACTGTTTTATTTTTATTTTTTTTGTTATAAACTATTTTGACACCAAAATCTGGACATCCACTTTCCTATTAAACTTGCACTAGCAAAAAATATAAAAAAAAATATTTTCAATAAAATAAAATAATCAAAATACCCTTGAAAGTTTCAAGGGGTATTTTTGTCATTATATTTTATCGAAAAAATATTTGTAATATTTTTTTTATAGGTGTGCCCTAATTAGAAGTTGGCACGTACCAAATTTCATATTCATATAATTTGTATTAAAAAAACTAAAAATAAAATACTGTGAGACGTCAGATCTAAGATCAAACGGTGAGTGGATCTCTTGATCAAAATTGGACGGCTGGATGGTAGGTTAAGTATGGAACTTCTATGCTGTAGGGGAAGTATAGAAACCTTTCCTATAACTTATACGTTGTTGGGGTCACATAGAAATATTTTCCATCCATAAAATATAGGGAAGTTTATGCCCATTCTTTTCCAAACTAAAAATCCATGGCCATTGTAATTTATGCTCATTTCCTTGTTTTCATTTTTTTTTTTTCACCCAAAATGCTATTGGTTCATAATTTCAAAATCCGAACCAAAACTACTAACATGTCAGTTTGGAAATTGAAAATCCGTATGGGTTTTTTTGTAAACCTACTAGCATTCATATTTTGAAAATCTGGTGGAGAAAGAATTGAGTTAAGTAGGAGAGGATGGGGAGTCGGATTTTTAAAATCCGAATCCGAAACTCACAAAAACCGTTAACATTATGAAAATCTGAACTGGTAGTTTCACTAAATTCATTTGGAATTTCAATTTCTCAAACGATATGTTAATGGTTTTGGTTAGGATTTGAAAGTCTCAACCTATGGTATTCTGGGGAAAATAAAAAAATAAAGACAGGGAAATGAGCGTAAATTAAGACACTTTGGGGATAGATTTTTACTGCCTAAAAACATACAAAATATTAGCATAAACTTCCCTCACATTTATTATAACGTTATAACCTCCTACAAACCAAACCCAACTTAGAATATTCTCTTTTAAGTATTATAATTATGTCAGGTTCATGGTTTAGTGGTCCAAATTATTTTACTGAAACCCTAACCTTTATCTAATCAATACTTGCATTATTGATACGGTCATCGCCCAAAAAACAAGTGACGACTTAATGTCCTCTTGATGCACTGTTTTATATTTGTGTCAAGGTAGGATTCCCTCCAATTTCTCCCGAAGATATGAACCTCACTCTTCATAGATTCACTAAATTCATTTGGAATTTCAATTTTTGAAACGATATGTTAATAACTTTGGTTAGGATTTTTAAAGTCTCAACCTATGGCATTTTGGGGGAAAAAAAAAAAGATAAAAAAAAGGAGGATATGAGCATAAATTAAGACACTTGGGTCCTGAAAAACATACAGAATATTAGCCTAAACTCCCCTTAAATTTATTATAGAATTGTGGAGTTTGAGATTCCATTACTAAATATTTTTCAGCGGCGACTCACTACAATAGACGCACCTAAACCTTTAGTTTACTCATTGGGAGACACTTACATGAGGTCATATCTAAATGTGGATCATCAACATCAACGTCGCTTTTTTCCAATTAATTAGGGTTTGCTACGCGAATTCTGATCCGTCATTTTAGTTATTAAAGGTCATGGCCTTAGTGAGGCCATCAATCCCTATATCTTTTCGGATTATTTCGAACTACGTCCTTTTGAGTCTATCCCTTACCCTTTTCTGTCTTTTCGTTTTAACTAATTCGCACCTCCTTACAGGTGTTGTACTTGGTCAGTGCCATACATGGCCCATCCACTTAAATCTACTATCTCTTATCTTATCGCCTATTAGTATCATACCTAAATTCTTCCGAATGGATTTATTTGAAATTCTATTCCTTCTTGTCTTGTCACTCATCTATCTCAACATTCGCATCTCTGTTACTCTCATTCTATGGGTATAATGTTTTTCGTCCGCCTGACATACTATCCTATATGAACAAAGCTGGTCTTACCGCTGTCTTATAGAACTTGCTTTTCAGTTTTATTTGTTTGCAGCAATCATAAAAAATTCCAATTACACATCTCCATTTTACTTACCTAGCTCTAATTCTTTGTGGAACATCTACCTCAATTTCTCCATTTTCATTAATTATCTACCCAAGTTAACAAAAGTACAGTCTCTTTTGTAGTTCCTGACCGTCAATCTTAACTACTTTCTCGCTTCTACTCCTATATTTATTAAACTTGCATTCCATATACTTTGTCTTAATCTGGGTAATTTTGAAACCTTTGGATTCTAGAGCATCTCTCCAAAGTTCTAACATTCGATTGACATCGTTTCGGGTCTCATTGACCAAAACTATTATCTACGAATAACATGCATCATGGTACCTTATCCTGTAAGTGCCTAGTTAGGTCATCCCATAACTAAGACGAAGAGGTACATGCTCGATGTTGGTCCTTGATGTATATCTATTTTCACTGAAAACTTACTCGTCTCTCCACTAATTATTTATACACTAGTTAGCCCTCCACTTATTATCGCTGAAAACTCACTCATCCCTCCACTAATTGTTCATACACTAGTTAGCGCTCCATCATACATATCTCTCATGATGTAGTGTCTGGAGACTCATTTCTTTTTCAAAACCTGCCAAATCAAATAAAGAGGAACTCTATCATAAGAATTTTTTAGATCAACAATGACTATTTGGATATCTTTTCCCTTTGCCCTAAACCTTTTAGTAAGTAGCCTAAGTAGGAAAATATCCTCGTTATTGACCTTCCTAGCATAAAACAAAATTGGTTTCCAAATGCACTCGTTTCATGCCTTAGTCGTTGCTCAGTCACTCTCTCTCAAAGCATCATACTATGGCTCATAAGCTTGATCCCTTGATAGTTCGCATAATTATGTATCATTTGTTTTTGTAAATAGACAATATTTTCCTCCATTCGTCTGGCATTTTCTTTGTTCTCAACATCTTGTTGAACAACATCGTCAGCCAACCAATGTCAGTCCCCCATGCACTTTCAAACCTCTATCGGGATACCATCTAGTCCTTAAGCCTTTCGTATCTTTATCCTTTTCAAAGCTTCTTTTCGCTATCATAATCCTAAGAATGTATCTATGACCTCCACTCTTATTCGTACCAATAGTTCATTCTATTGCTAGGTTCCTATTGTATTTGTCATTTCATAATTTTTGAAAATAAACTCTCCACCTTTCGTTGAAGTCGTCATCCTTCACTAAAATCGTTTGATCATCACTCTTAATGCATTTAATATTGTTTAGATTCCTACACTTTTTCTCTTTTATTTTTTCGAATTTAAAGCATTTTTCACCTTCTCTTGTTCTCAGTTTATTGTATAGATTACTTCTCTTGTTCTCAGTTTATTGTATAGATTATCATAAGCCTTAAGTTTACCTTTACTTTGTATTTGTTTAGTATTTTTTTTAGCATTTTTATATTTTTATAAGTTTTTATCGTTTCTGTTACACTACTAACTTCTATAACTTGATCGTTTTTTTCTAATGACTTTTTGAACCTTCATCATTCCACCAACAAGTTTTTTTATCAGAGTTTCTTTTTCCTCTAAATTCTCCTAAAATTTCTTTTGTCACTTTCTTGATACAGTCAGTCATCTCATTCCATATTACATTGACATCATTTTCAAAGTTCTATTTTCCTTATTCAACTATTTTTTCCGTAAATAATTATATTTTCTCATTTTTTAAATTCCACCACCTTGTTCTGAGAT